AGAGCTTCTTTTCAGGTGGGTGGGTGTGGGGAGGGCTGAGCTGCACAGGGCAGGTGGCAATAACAGTGCTGAGAGGGGTGTCTACTGGGGGGAGGCACTAGGGGGAAGCTTGGGGGTGGCTTTAGCCCCCCCCCCACCCCAAACCCCCCAGTGCTGCCCCTGCTCTGCTGCAGCTGAGCCCACCCTGCCCTGAGCACAGCCCCATCCCAGGAAGAGGCCAGGGTAGTCCCTGGTCCCAAGCCTGCACACAAAATCTGGGGAGGCATATGCCCCCCATGCCTCCCTCAGGGGTGTATGCAGTAGTGGGGAGCCAAGTCCCTCCCCCCCAACAAACCTCCCACGGCTCCATCCTGCTCCTGGCCCCGGGGTCACATTCACTGCCCCTGCCCCATTCCCTCCCTCACCATGGGGGCCTTGATCTGCCTCCCCACACCTACCAGCAGGACACTGATCTCCAAGCTGCATTCCTGTAAATGGCTATTGGATTGGTATTGGCCAATATGACTGGTTAATAAATCAGCCATCAGTATTATCTAAGAAAATCTTTATCAATGCACCCCTAAAAGAAATTGGCTGGGCCTACAGTACTCTGGAGTTCTGCTGACATAGGCAGGCCAATATTCTCCTACAACACCTCTCTCTGTAGCAGGACTAGGCCCCAGGGGTAGCCATGACACCCCTGGTGGCCACACAATTCCTGCCCCACACTGGTTCCTCAGTGTGCCCTCTCCTCTTCCCTGCCATGCCTTGATGGAATTGTTCAGTTGTAAAAAGCAGGGTGGCCCCAGGGTCCCAGAGCAAGCCCTAGCCTGCTTTGGTCAGTGTATCCCTCCCATACCCAGCTGACCCCAGTCCTGTCCTTCAAGCACTAGATGAGGGCCCTCTGGTAGCCCTTAAATATCCCAGGGCATCAGTTGCCTTGTGACCTCCTTCCACCCCTGTACCCATACCCATGCCTTGCAGTTGGTACTTTAAGTTGTCCACTGGGCCCTCTGGCCCATCCAGAGGCCCAGACTTTAGTCAGCCTGCCAGGCCCCTGGCCCTGGCAAGGCTTTCTTTTCTCTGGGCCCCTGGCTCTCACCCTCTCCAGGCTTTGGCTCTCTCATCTTAAGCCTACTCTGGTCTCAGCCCTCCACTCTCTGGACCCCTGGGCCCTTGCACAGCTACTGTAGTTGTATCCCACCCCTCAGCCTTCTAGGTCCCCAACCCCAAACCAGGTTGCTTCTGCTACACCAGTCTTCTGCACTCAGGCTCCCTCACCTGGTCTGGACTGCTCCCACTGGTCTTGGCTCCCCTAGCCTCAACCTGCCCCAGCCCACAAGCCTCTGGCTAGGCTGCCTGACCCTGGCCTTAACCCTTCTGGCCTTAGCCTAACACATCACACCAGCCTCACTCCTCTGGGATTCTGACCCTCAGCTAGGCTGCCTGCTTCCAAGTGCTGTGCCAGGCACCCCTGTGTGGCTTCTACCCCTCTCCAATCCAGTCCCTAATCAAAACACAAATGCAGGCCCACCGGCTATATAACAAACTCTCCCCACACTGGGTCACAACCAAGGATCCTGGTTCTCTCTGTTAAAAACCAGAAATGCTCGGATTTGGGGGGAGGGAGGCAGAGCACAAAACTCCGATTAAAAACCCCCACGTCTCCTTTTTGCATGATTAAGATGAAAATGCCTCTCGGTCACAGGCCAGGATCCCCAGTGGTGGCCGTGATGCCCCTGGCAGCTCTGCAACCATGCCAGCTCCACCGCAAGGGCACCCTCTTGTCTTGCCTACCACATCTTGATGGTAAAATAATAAATTGAGAGGCTGTCCCCTTCACATGGCTCCGGTCCGCTGAACCTCATAAGAACTCACGGCTCCTTGGGCCCTTCACCAGATCTCATTCCAGTACTGTGCTGCAAGGGGCACCTTGAGCCTTATGGGTTAATTATAGGGGAGGTTTTGAAGCCCCACACCATGCCTCACAGGTGTTACATGGATGTTGTTTCCTTTGTTGGGGCCTCAGCCTACCCAGCCTCTGCCCCTTTAATCTAGCTAGGCCAGTGGTCATCAACTAGTCAATTGTGATCAACTGGTCAGTCCTGGAGCCTCTGACAGTCTCTCTCAGCCTGGGATGGTCGAGTACATGCGTGCTCAGCCTCCCCGGACTGAGATGGACTGTCATAGGCTCCGTGATTGGGAGCAACAGGACGCATGTGGCTGGGCTGAGTCACACCCCTGCCACCCAGGCCTGAGCTGGATGGTAGGACAATCCCCTGCACCCTCTGCTACTAGGCAAGTGGGGCCCCAGCCAGGCTGGGGGTGGGTCAGAGCCCAGGCAGCTTGTCCAGGTGCCCGAGAGGGGCTCCCGCCATGCCACGCACACCAGCAGAAGCCCAGGGAGCACATGCCTCATCTGCTATGTTCACCTCAAGCCCTCTGTGGGCTACAGGCAGCAGCAGGATTCCAGCACGCTCCCCTGCAGGGCTTTGGCTGCACGCCGGTCCCACACTGCTACTCTGCAGCCCCCACCCCAGCCAAGAGGCACGGCATGGGGTGCTCCTTGCCCAGCCTGTGCCTGCCCTGCACCCAGGCCTGAGGAGCAGGGCGTTGGGGTGCTCTACTCCACCACACACAGGCTATGTCCAGGAAGGCATTGCTGGCCCCCCATACCTGCTGGGATCCACATTCCAGCCTCCTCCATCCCACTCCTAGCACTGGCTCCATCTGGGACCTACTCCCCCTCAGCACAGCAGCAAGGGCTGCATCCCAGGGCCAAGAAGGGTCCCAGAGATGCCAAGAGATCAGGGGAGAATCTGTCCTCATTTGTCCTGGGCTCCAGGCTGCTCCCTGTACCAGCCCCACCACAGCCCCAGGCCAGGGAGGATGCTACAGGCAGCACCAGGGGAAGCCCCTGTCTGGCTGTACCCCTGCAGTGCCAAGCCCTATGTGGCTACACCCTTCTGGTGCTGGGCCCTCCAGCCTCTTGAGTAGCTGTGCCTCTCTACCGCCAGGCCCCTGTCCCATCTGACTACACCCTTCTTGCACTAGGCCATCCTTTCTTTGTGTATCTGCACCCCTCCGAGCACTAATGGGACCTCTCATTACAGCCCAATCCCAAACCTCCTGCACAAACAATAGTACAAACGTAAGCCCCTGAGCTATAATATAACAAGAACAATGGAGACAGTGTTCTGCCCCATTAAGAGGGCAAACTTCCCCCCAGGACACTGTGTTTCCCAGCCCTAGGTACCTTGTGGGCTGCTGGTGCCTCACTGCTCCTGTAAGTAGCAAAGCAGGCAATCACCCATCTGCAGGAGCTTATTCCCCTGGCAGTTGCCAGAAAACTAATCCCTACCTACCCCAGCCTTGGGTTTATATGTGCCCAGGACCCTGCCTCCATCCTTCAGCTGACTGCCTGCAGGTTGTGCTAATTACCTCATTAGCCTGCGGCTCAGGCAACCTGCAGCTGTGGTGCTCTGCCTAGCTGCAGGGCTCCCTGGCTAGGCTGCTTCTGCCTTTAAAGGAGCAGGCACGTCTTAGTGCCCTGTGAGACCCTCTCTCTTTAGCAGGGGGTTTCAACTTTTTTTAATAAGTGTACCCCTGGGGGGCAGGGAGGAGGGGGGAGAACAGCTGGACACGGAGCAGGGTTGTGACAAGTGGCGGAGCGGCGGCAGTGCAGTGTCTGTGCGGCCCTGCTCTTGCCCCACCCCAGCCCTGTTGCTGTGAGGCAGTGGTGTGGGGTGGTGGTGCTCCATCCCTGTTTGCCCTCACGTACCCCCTGGAACCTTTCAGAGTACCCCCAGGGGTACACGTACCCCTGGTTGACAACCCCTGCTCTGTAGGCATCAGTTAAACACAATGTTTTATCGATACAGTAACAATTTTAAAGCACTATGGAAGTCTACCAGTGCCTCAATTGTTAAAGTAAAATTAATTCTAAATACCTATATATTTTGCTGTTTGATTTTGTTTGGTTTTTTTTATCATGGAAAATCAGAGCTCCCCCTGCCCCCTTTGCTTACCAGGACATGGGTCCAGCTGAAGCTGTTACCTGCCTCTGCTTTGTGGTGCTGAGCAGCCCTGATACACCAGTGCCTCTCACTCCCAAGCCACAGCCCCCCAGCTATGCCAGTGCCCCTCACTCCCAACCCTCAGTCCACCATCCCTGCCAGTGCCCCTCACTCTCAACCCACAGATCCCCCACTTCCCCCAGCCCTGCTGTTGCCCCTCACCCCTGATCCACTGCCCACCCACCCCCAGGCCCCAGCCTCCAGTGTGTGGGGAAGGGGGTGGGTTTGTGAGCATTGGGGTGCCTGACCATAGGTAGGTGCCCCCTCAGATATGTGCATCCACAGCAGGGGACAGGGCTATAATCTGGCCAGGAGCTGCCTCCACAGCCCAGTAGGCAGGACCTAGCGCAAGAGGGTAAAGCAGGGCATCAAGGAGCCCACTGGGCTGCGGAGGTGGCGCCTGCCCAGTGCAGGTCCGGCCAGGCTGCAGCTCCACACTTCACTGTGGGCACACAAATTTGGGGGAGTATGTGCATTGCTTATGTCACCTGACCCCTCCCCAAAAGTGCACACAGCAGCAGGGAGCATTCCCCTTTCCCCTAGGATGAGCCAACTGGCCATCCTGCTCCCCAGCTAGGCCCCACAGCCACACATCCCCACCCCGGTCCTGGGCCCCATGCACTGCCCCAGCTGGGCAGTGTCCCCAGACCCAGCTGCCAACCCTGCTGCAGTCCCTCCCCCACTGTGGGGGCTTGGCATGAGCCACCACCTCAATGTGCCCCTCTCACCCATTGCCTATGCCCTTGCCCCCTCGCATAGATTTACCTGCAGGCAGTTGGGGGAGCTGCTCTCCACTACACTGCCTGGGGCTGTATTGCTGGCCACTTGCATATGTGCATGCACACACATGCACATGGCACCCCCTGCATCCAATTGGCCTCCCCACAGCCCCTTGCAGGCTGGAACTCTGCCAGCCTGCAAGGGGAAACCCATGGTTTCCTGTGTTTTTCTCCTTTAAAGGAGAAAATCTGCATTTTTTCTGTAGCAAACAGAAAACCTGGATCCCTAGTCATAAATTCCCTGCAAGCTGTAAGTCTCCCTTAGCTCTTTACTTGCAGCTTTTGGAGAAAGCCCAGGTGCTGGATATCCCATCTCCTGCAGCCATCTTACCCAGGAGCTCTTTTCCTTACTGTTTACAGATCCAGGCTGAATGCCTAGTCCCAGGCACAGGTCTTATGTGCCTCCTAACCCTCTGTCAGGTGGCTCTCTAGCCACCCATAGGGACTGGGTGGTCCATTTTGACCAACCTGTCCTTCTCTCCTGCGGCTTGGTTCAGCTACTCACAGCTTCTACTGGGCTGCCTAGATGTTTGCCCATTAGCTGCTTATCTTCTAGCAGCCTCACACAGCAAGCTCCAGGGATAGTTTCTCCCCTAGGGGTAGCTCCTATCCTGGCTGTTACTAGCCACCCAGCAAGTTTATCCTGCTGCAGCATCCCTTTAAAGTAACTGGAGCTTCTGGCTCTTTGTTAGTCCCCCCTACTTACCAGGTAAGACTGGCCTGTGAAGATGTGTAATAAATGGAGTGGCTGTTGTCTTTCATTAATCACAAGACTCAGCATGCTCTCAAAGGCTCGTTGGCTCCTACATAGACTGAGATTAGGGTTTTCTGGGCTTGAGTCAGATTTTACAGCAAGTACAGTCATTAAAGCAAGCACTGCAAAGTAAGTGTTAGATAGAGATCTCCTGGCAAAGCCTGGAATGCTAAGGAATAGGTGGGAGAGGATGTTCTCTACTTCCAAGTGAACTGAGCTGTCCTCAGGAAGAGTTGTTCTCCCAACCTTTAGGAGTGACAGTTTTTTAAAAGGCTTCAGGGCTAAGAGCAATGGCCCTCCTGTCAGAGAAGGTGACTGGGACATACCTAGAAGCAATGACTGCAGTAGCCACCTCCACTGAGGGATCCTTCCTGTGCACTTCTGCCTCTAAACTTCTTAACTAAAGCTGTCTGTGCTGCTGTAGTTATTGCCCCTACCTCACAGACATCATCCATTTAGGTGGAGGGAAAGCTCTCTGCCACAAACCTGTAGCAGACCAGGAAATGATGCTCTAACCCATGTCAAGGCTTTAGTATCACTAAATGTGCTCCTTGGCCCCTTTTTCAAGGGAAGTGGAATCTGATGGCTGCAAACAAATGAGTGCAGAGTGTTTTATTAAGCTGCTTGGCTGTTTTGGAAGCCTAGCAGAGGATTTGAGCCATTAGAGACATAGGATATTATATGATTTATGTGATCTAATTCCTATCTTTCTAACTGGCAGAGAGCTGGGTAAAATTTGTCCCTGGTCTTGAATAATCACCTCTTGAGTAATTTTGGGGTGATTTCTTCTCCATGAGGAGGCTTTTTAGAGGCTTTTGTTTACAAACATCAAAGCATTCACTGCAGTGTACAAGCCATAAGCCTAAGAGTAGAATGAAGTGCTGTTGATTTGCAGATTTGACACACTAGATCTATTCAAGCAGTACAGCGGATCCCAGTTGCACTGTAAAACTAATTGGTACTCTCCTGTGTTCATTCTTTTTGTGGTCTTGTGTTGTTTCCAGTCCCTTATATGCAGCTCAACCACCTGAGCACTGAGTCAGGTACCTGCAAATGCGCATCTAGCTCTGCCCAAGTCTGCATAAACTAGAATGGCCCGTCTGTACTCAGGTGCATTACTGTGGCTGTTTCTAGCATGTTCTGCTAGGCTGATCCATTTTTCTGGTATGCTCTGCTGGCCCACTGTGTGCTAAAGCTAATCCATTGTGCAACATGTATAGTCTGGTTTTCACCCTTGTTCCTGACTGTTGCATGGTATGCAGCTCTCATTAGTTGCCTGGAACTAAGAGCTTGGTTTTCAAAAGGTCACATGCACAATCCCAATTCTAATTTGCAATTTCAGTGCTTCATTTGCAAATGGATAGTCATGCTGCTGGCATTTGCGTACCTCAGACCTTTTGAAGTAAGGCCTTAAACGTCCTGCTTCAGGTGTGTAAAGCTAGTTTGGGCAGCTAATAGTGACTCTTCTGATTGGATGTGTAGTTCTTGTTGTTCTTACTTAATGAGGTGTTGCACTTGAATGATCCCCAGTAGTCAACTATGAGTTCTGTCATCTTACTCCCTTTTTAAGCAACTTTTCATTCTTTCTTGTAGTGCCAACAGCTACCATGACCAGGCTCATCCGGTCCCGTACCCAGTCCTCTTCTAGTGTGGGCTCTGGGGAAAGTGTCCGCGACTGGTCTCACACCACCCACCAAGATGAGGGACCTACTGGAACCCTGGAAGCAGCTGATATCCAGGATGCACCTCAAACCATGGAAGTATACTGCTAAGAAGGAGCTTCGCTTCTGGATCTGAACAACTCCATCCTCCACCACTGAATCCATCTAGAACCTAGCATTTTGTCCAACAAAATGCATTCTTTTGTCTAACTTGTGTATGCCCATCAGAGGCATCACTGTCCCCTTGGTAGTCTGTATTTGGCATTACTTTGGTCCTTTTTGTATGTCTTTGCCATCAGAACCTGTTTAAAAGTTGTCATCATTCCACAGTCTTAGCAAATCCAATTACTGTACATGTTAGTACCATGTCTTTCCAGTGCTATCTGTGCTGTACGTCACTCCAGATGGCAGCCACTGTCTCCCTCTTTATTTAAAATATTTATGTGGTTTTGTGAGGTTTTATAATTGCTTCATAGTTGGGCTTCTGCTGAAGGAAATTAGGAACACAGATGAGATATGGAGTGCAGTTTATATAGCACCTCTGGGATGACGGAAAATGAGACTCAGTGATGTAAAACTCTGGGCGAGGAAGGCAAGTCATGTTCTACTGCAAAGTTATGCATGGAGTACAAACTATGTCAGAGGTTTCTTGTATTCCCAGGACATTTGGTATTTGCAGCATGCCTGGGGAACCTAAATAGTCAAATGGAGGGATCCAGGAAGGGTGGGTGCAGGAGTAGCAACTGGCACTGTAGAGGTAGCTCCCTCCCCCCTCTATCCAGGCCAGACAGACCACACCACAGAAGCAGCAGCTGAGGACTTTTTTTAAATCCCCAAATCAGGTGAGAATTTCTCTTCTGCCCCTGCTCCACTCCCCACTCTTGGCACCCCTTCCCTTCCCCTTCATGCTCAGTGGCCTCTCTCTTCCCATCCCCTCCTCACCCCTCCCATTCACCCCCTTTCTCACCTGCCACTGTCAGTTTGCATGCTATTGTGAAATGCAGTGCTGCTGCAGACAACAGGGTGCAGGAAAGGTTCTGTCTCCCTGAGTCTGCTCCTGGGCTGGCAGGGAACACGTGGGGGGATCTACCAGGGAAGAGGAACCCACCCACTGCCATTGCTGCTGCTGTCCCAGGCTAAGCCTAGTTCCTCATACAGTCCAGCTAGAGCAGTGCAGGAGGGGCTCTGGAGCTTCCCCCATCCCCAGAGCAGCCAGAGACAGGGGCAGTGATTGGCAGGGGAGGAGAGGGGGATTACTACTGAACACATAGGGGAAGGAAGTGGGGGATTCTTACTTGATGTGGGGACTTAAAGTCCCCAGTTACTGCTCCTGCAGCATGGTTTGAAAAGCAGGTGTGACTGTGGCCACTGCACCCTCTCTGGATCCACCCCTGGATAGTCATAATTATCATTTGTGTGTCAGAAGGTGCAGAATCATTTTTTTTCCTTGGCCTCAAGGAAGTGCAAAGCACTTAACATATTAATTCTCACTAATTAAGAGGCACTGTTCAGCAAGGTGCAAGAGATTAAAACCAGGGGTGGGCAGTTATTTCAGGTGAAGGGCCGCTTACCAAGTTTAGGCAAGCTGTCAGGGCCGCATCAGTAGCCCTGCCCCTTGACAGGTGGCCTGCTCCCTGGTCGCCATCTTGTGATCAAAGTTCCGCCCCCTAACACCTGACCTTTGCCACCAGAAGGCCTCCCCTTGCCCCCAGAAATACTCCTTTCAGCAAGGGGTTTTGCTGTCTCAGAACCAGAAAAATACAAAATTATATTCTAAAAATTGAACATCTACAACATTCATTAATTTGATTTAAAAATATATTTTTGTCCTGATTTACATATATTTATGTAGTGTACATAGAGGTGATTGTATAATAGCTTAAAATGAAGTCTTACTCTTGTATATTGTGGGGGGATGGGGGCATGGAGGGGTGAGTAGAGTTTTGTGGGGACCTGTTGGTGTATGGGGGAGGGTGTGAGTGTGGGGTGAGGGAGTATGTGGGGGTGTGTGTAGATATGTGGGGTGTGGGTGCATGTGTATGGTGGGGTGTGCGTGTGGGACTCGCCCTGTGAACACACACACACTGTTTCTCTCTCCTTCCCTCACTGCACACAGTCTCTCCCTCCCTCATTATACACACACACACACACACACACAGAGTCTCTCCTCACTCCTTCATTGCATGCACACTGCACACACACTCTCTTTTGCTCACTGTCTCTGTCTGTCACTCCTGGTCCTGGGGTACTGGTGCTTGTCCTGTGCTGCCACAGTCTGGTGATGCAGCTGGGGGCCACGTGGTGCCGGAGCAGCCAGCTGGCATGCAGGGAAGCAGTGAAAGCTGTGGCAGGCAGAGGCATCCAGCTGGGGATGCGGGGGTAGGAGGGGCCTAGAGGTGAGGCCGGGCTGGCCTTGCTACTGAGTGCTGCCGGCTTCCCCTGGGTCCTACTACCCCTGGCTCCTGTCATCTTTGACAGGCAGCCAGGAGCAAATAAATTTTAATCTTCTACATTTTTTAGGGGTCCCACAAGCCAGATAGAATGACCCGGTTGGCCGGATGCAGCCCTCAGGCTGTATTTTGCCTGACCCTGGATTAAACTGTTTTACAGCAGCCTTGGCTTACTAGAGTGGCTTTGCTGATCTATAAAGATGTTACAGAAGCAGTTTTGCAGGAGGGCCAGATACAGGTAGGATACTTGCTAGCACTTGGTTGCTTCTCTTAGTTGCTGGGTTTTTGATGTAACTTGTAGAAATACTTAGCAAATGGCTGGACTCATTTGAGTCCTGTTTTTTGTTTAGGGTTCTTTTGTTGTTCTCCCGCCCTGGCGGGGGGTCGGGCTAGAAGATCTATTAGGTCCCTTCCGACCCTAAAACTATGAAACTATGAAGCACTAAATAGGTTGAGAAGTGGTCAGTAATACAGATCTAGTCCCTACCATTCCTGTGGTGTTGGTATCCATGAAATACTCCATGCTTCCCAGATGGTTTGTCAGAGTAGAATATTCCAACTGTGGCTGCAAAAATGCCAGTGAATATAAAAGGCTCTGATCAGAGACTAGTCCTGTATCACTTAGGCCTGTTTCGTGTGTAGATCATAAATGGCTTGGAAATGTCTGGATGCAGATATGCTGTTTCTGTCTTCATTTAAATCACAAGCCTGGGTTTTTTTGCATGTGGTGGGGCTACAGGGCAAAAGGCAAATGACCCAGACATGCAGCAGACAAGCTGTTAATTGGTAAAAAAGGGATAAGTAATCAGGTTGCTACAGATCTCTTGACAGAGGCAAGGCAAAATGTCCTATTCCAGCTGTTGTGTAGTCCTGACTCATAGGGAACCAGCTACTCTAGATGTTACATTCATGGTTGGCTCCATTTTAGGCAGGAATTGGGACAGTGAGACTGCCTGATGGAGACTTTATACCAGTTATGAAATAAAGCTATAACTGAGCTTCATTGTTAATCTGTCTCATTATGCTATTTTTGTTGGCATTTTAGTAATGTAGTTGCTGTTGGTATGCTTATAATCCTCCGGAGCCTGACAAAGAGATGTACCGTGGTGGTTCACAATTATATGAGCCATGAGTTGTTAATGTATCTTGACCCTTGGAAACTACCGCAAGCACTTACACATGCGTTAGTATGCCAGACACAAATCTTTTATGGATAGCTCCTATATCGTGCTCTGGGAACTGGGCCAAGTGTTGCACTTCGTCAGGCACTTCCCCAAGCCTATCTGCTATTTCATGGTACTGACAGGACTGTTATTCTCATCTTCTCTAATGCTTTCCTGCCATATAACTTAGAGCACTTTACAGAGCAGTTGTGGAGAGGAACTGAGCTTTCCCACTGGCACACCCAGGTGGATAGATAGCAATCTGGTCATGCATTGCTCATATGCAGAATACCAGAAAGTTCCGTTAAATGAAGCCTTCACCTCTGAAGAAGGAGAAAGTCTAATAAAAGATTTGCCAAACAGTTAATACTGGTAGCTGCTTATGAGGTAAAGGAGGTTACTAGCTATGTTAATAAGTTTTGCTGGTTTAACTAAAGCTTATAATTGAGAGGTTGGCAACCTTTGCAACCCAGCCCCCACTATAAACTGCAAGCCTCTGCCTTCTCTTCCCCCTGCCCACCCCCGGAACAGCCGGCTGCCTGTGCTTTCCCTTATTGCTGTTCCCAGTCGCTTTTAAAGAGAGGTTAACAACAGATATGGCAGCACGGTAGGTTCTACAGTGCAGGAGATGGGCAACACAATGTAGGTCCATGCCATTAATCACCCCATTCTGGATTGGATCTCTTTGAAGGCTCGATCTTGCTTGCGGGCAACATGTTGCTGACTCTCCTGCCATGGTTCAACTAGCAAAAGTCCTAGTCTAAATGCAGTTATATTAGTAAAGAAGTGCAAATGTGAGAACCAGCTTAAGCTCTCAGGATACAATGACATCCACACTGGCTTAGATTAATATTACTACACTGATATAAAAAAGTCATGCCCTATCTGACAATGGTACCTTTATAATTATTGTCATGTAATTTACTCAGTCCAGGTAAAATGTAGCAAAGGCTGAATTTTAATTTTCTTTGATTATTCTTAGTCCTTCAAGTGCCAATCTTCTTTAAGTACTTGCATATAATGTAAAATTTCCATAAGGTCTGACTACTATCCCATGCTGCTCATCCCTGTGGACACTAATAATACTTTTAGAGGTGACTTTGAGCAGAGTAAATGAGTACATGCACATGGCAGCCAGGTAGCGGTGGAGAGCACCTCCCACAGCTCCCTGCAGGTAAACCAGGGTGGGGGGAGCATAGGCAACATGGGAGAGTAGGGGGGCACGTTGCCCCCCCCGGATTTCTGTGCCCACAGTGGGCATGGGGTTTCAGCCTGGTCGAATCGGCCAGCAGGACCTGGTGCAGGAGGGCAGAGTGGGACAGCGGGATGTTGCCACTGCTGCTGTAGGGACACCCACACCAGCCATGCTGCCAGCAGCAGGAGGAGTAACAGACCGAGGTCGGGAGGCAGGGGGGCTGTGCTGCCCTCACCTTCTCCCACTGCCAGAGGGAAGGTGGGGTGGAAGGCAGAGCGGGCAGCCTGAGAGGAGTGGCAGTGGCAAAGCCATGCCCCTCCCCCCCCTCACACACACACATACCCCACTCCTGTGCTGTGGGTTGGGAGTGAGGGACACCAGCAGGGTCAGGGGGCTCCAGGGTTGGAGTGAGGGGGGCCTTGAGTCCAAAAAGGTTGAGAACCACTGTAGTAGACCATAAGCTGAACATGAGTCTATACTCTTGCTGCAAAAAGTACCAACAGCAGACTGGGTTGTATTAATGGGAGTATCTCTTGTAAATCAAGGGAAGTGATTCTTCCACTCTGGTCAGCATTGGTGAAGCCTCTCCTGGAGTACTGTGTTCATTTTGGCCTCCACACTTCAAGAAGGATGTAGATTGGAAAGAGTCCAGCAGATGGCAACAAAAATTATTGAACCTGGAAGGCAAGACTTAGGAAGAAAAGCTGAAAGAATTAGGGTTATTTAGTTTGGGAAAGAGAAGACTGGTGAGGGATTTGATATCAGTCTTCAAATACCTGACAGGTAATTAATAGAAAGGATGGACACAGGCTTTCCTCTGTGTCTGTAGGGCACAAGACTAGGAGCTATGACCTCAAGTTGTTGCAGAGGAAATTTAGGTTGGGGATTTGGAGGAGCTTTCTGACTATGAGGATGGTCAAGCTTTCTAGAGAAGTTTGACCAGAAGTTTCTAGAGAAGCTTTCTAGAGAAATGTCCATCCTTGGACATTTTCAAGAGTAGGTTGGAGAGGCAGGATTAGACAGCTTTGTGAGGTCCCTTCCATCCCTACCTTCCTATGATCTGACGAAGCAGCTGGTTGTGGGCATCACTAGCTGCTATAGTGAAGAGTTATATAAACACTTGAATAGAGTTATATTGTGGAAAAGGAGCTTATGGGTCATCTGGTCCAACACACTACATGAATGCTACTCCTAAAGCATCCCTACTGAATACTTACCCAGCATCCTCTTGAAAACTTCCAACGAAGCAGTTCCACAACTTCCTGGATAGTTTATTCCACTGCCTTATTGTTCTAACAGTAAGGAAGCTTTTCCTGAAATCTACCTCACTGCAATTTAATGCCATTGCTTTGTGTTTTGTTCTCTGCAGGAAGGGAGAACAGTTGTTCACCCTTTTCTTTATTGCAACCTTTCAGGTATTTGAATATTGTTATCATGTCCCTCACTTAATCACCTTTTTTTCAAGCTAAATATGGCTAGTTCTTTCATGCCTTCCTCCTGTTAAATGCAGTCCCAAATTTCATTTGCTTTTCTTGCCACTGCATCACACTGCTGACTTGTGGTGGGTCTGGGATCTACCATAACCCCTCAATCCATCTCAGCGATGCTGCCATCCAGCCAGATATCTCCTATTTTGTATCTGTACTTATAATTATTCTTCCTTAGGCTTCACATTTGTCTACACTAAACTTCATCTTGTAGGCTGTAGCTCAGCTTTCCAACGTATTGGTCTTTCTGAATTCTACTCCTATATTCCAATGTGTTTGCAATCTTTCCTTTAGTGCAGCAGTTCCCAAACTGTGGGTTGCAACCCCAAATGGGGTCACAACATCGGCATGGGTTGCAGGGGAGGTGGACTGTGGGTTGGGAGTGAGGGGCCAGTCTGAGGAAATGGGGCCATAAGTGGGGTCATGCTGCG